ACTATTAAAGATTGTGCTACCTCCCAACTCGGGACTTGCCAAACAGGTTTTCAGTTCTTCCAGTATCTTGAGTTTATTGCGCCAAGGCTTCCATTCTAGATGGTGTGACAACTCCACCACTTCACTAAGTCACCACACCCATTACACCTGATCTTTATATTATACTACAGCTTATAATAAAACTTATTGTAGTGTTAAATACTAGTGGTGTGATTTAACAATAGTATTGTTTTTTATTAATTTATTTTTATTTTTTTTAAAGAATAATAAAAAAGAGATTATTTATAAAGAGCAGTATAATAGAATGTAGTAGAAAAATACTCAAAATATTTTGCTTATAGAGTTAAAAATTTTATCAATTATATTATATTTAGATGTTACAAATTGTAACAAATTAAGTAAAAGTTAGCTTCACCCAATATATATATTACTAGAAAATATACCTACATAGTAAAGGAATAAGCAGAATGCAAAGCAATTATTAGATTATTTGCTAATAATTAAAATTTCTACTAAAAATAAACTAATAGTTAGACAAACTTTTCATAAATTTTTAGAAATTTTATTAGATTCAATTTGAAAGCTTTCATATTAGATATAAATTTGTTAATTAATAACAAATTAGTCTGTTTTTTTCAAAGATTTCAACAATAATAGCAGATTGACCAGAAGCTGCAATATTTTGTCTAACTTACAAGTCAATATAATCAAATCATCCTTGTTACTTCTGTTTAATAGAAAGAAAAAAATTAGAAAAAACAAACTGTTCTGAACATGATTTAGTGCTTAGAAATCATATAAATATGCAAATCTATTTTAATAATAGTAAAAAAAATTCAGTATATATAGAATCTATACCAATTTCTTTTGGAACTTTAAGTAAATTTAATGTTTTTTATTTAATAATATGAAATATTTTAAAAATAATCTGAATACTAAAATATTTAAAATTACTAAAAATATTAATATAAAATAAAATAATTCAAATAGTTGTGAATTATTTATATATGTCGTGCCTCAGATCAATTCTTACATCAGATTAAAACCGGCCTAAGTTAGATTAGGGTTAGGGTAAGAATCTGGGAAGAATTTGGGCTTAATTTAAGTCAATCAATGTCGATCAGTTAATGCGGGCCAAAAAGTTGACATCTGACACAAGCATTAATCTGAGGCACAACATATATATTTCAAATAGTTGTGAATTATTTATATATAATTCGAATAGTTGTAAATTATTTTTATTTTAAAATAATTCAAATAAATATGAATTATTTATAAATAAATCAAATAGTTGCAAATTATTTTAAAATTCGAATAGTTGTGAATTATTTAAATTGATTTGATATATATTAAATATATTTTGAAACTATATGAAATTTATTATTCTGATAATTAATATAGTTTATTTAGTTTGCATCTATGCAAATTATTTTAAAATATTTAAATTAATTAAAAATATTTCTATACAAAAAATTATTAAATATTATCTTTTATACTTTTATTTAATTTTAGTGATATTAATATTTATGAAGTAACTGTAATTGATAGAATGCATTATTTAGATTTGGAATTATTTAAATACCAAATTATTTTTACTTTTGGCCTTTTAAAAGATAAATATAGTATATCTATTTTGGATATAATTGATAATAGATTAGCTAATATATCAAGATTTTTGAATCTAAAGATTTTTAAAATAGAATTTAATTACTTGTTAGAATTACTGCAAGTAAATATTGTAATCTTATGAAAATTATGATATTTGTTTTGGATAACCTAAATATAGACAAATTAATTTAAGTTAAGTTAATGGCGATTTATAAAAGTTAGAATAATATGTATCTTTTAAGCTGATTTTAAGAATTTTCAAATAGTAATTTAGAAAAATTTGAAATATTTAAATATTTTAAAATTATTTGAATTTATTTGAATTTATTTAAATTATTTTAAAATGTTTAAAAATTTATTAATATATTTTAATTTTGTTTAATTTTATTAGAAACTTACAAAAAAATAGGTTTAAAAATTTATTCTTTTTTTTAAATCATATTCTGCTTCTGAATTAAAGCTTTTAAAATTGCATTTATGGATCTATTATACAACTGATTTAATTAAAAAATATAGTTGTTTAAATAAATTTTCTATTAAAACTTATGAAAGTCTGCATAAAGATTTTGTAAAAACACTATATTATTTAACAAATAAGCAAAATATTAAGAATCAAATATTAAAAATAGTAATAATTGGTTAATTTTTTAATAATGTTTAAAATATTTTTATAAAAATTTAACTAAATTTATTTTATTAAATAGGTTTAAAGACAGGCTGTAGTATTAAAATTATCAGGCAATCTAAAAAATACTAAAACTATAAATTCTTTTAAATTTACTAATTTAATTTGAATATTTGGTTTAAATAATGCTTAAGAATTTATTGATCAAAAATTAAAAAATTATATATTTAATTCTAATATAAGGTAAGTGTTTCTATTATGATGCAGCTAATCTTGCCCAATAGCAAGTCTTTATTGAATTGATATAAAAATACACAGTTTTTACTAAATTTAATATATTCCAATTTAGAATAAACATTTGTTTAAAAAAAAATTTTTTTTAGACTAAAAAAATCCAATCCATATTAGAGTAACATAAATCTTTCCAAAATCAAGATTATCAAAAGATTACCCCTAATTTGACGCACTGGAATAAAATTGAATAATTTTTAAATTTTTTCTTTTCTACATCAGTTTGTATCCTTAATATGTTGCTTTTCTGCCTTCAAACATTCTGTTTTCTCTGTTTTTTTTCTCTGTACCTCTTGCTTCTGTGCCTTTTTGGCTTCACATGCTGTCTATTTTTGGATAGCTTCTTCTTTTTTACATTGCTTCTCATTGGATATCTTTTCTGCCTCCTCCTCCGCCTCTCTTAGTTGCTTCAATGATTCTTCATTTTTTAAAAGCTAGGAGAAAAGCATGGTTTTTCTTTTTTTTCTTTTTGAAAGTTGGAATCCAGATTCCTCTTGATCAGATCTTAGATCTTCAGTTGGTAAATTAGAATACAAAAGATATTTAAGTATCTGCCACAAAGAACTTGTACCAGAGTTATTAAGAGTTTCAATCTCTTCTTCCAAATGTTCAACTCTTTTATTTAATAATCTAATTTTAGACATTAGCTCTTTTTTTGTAAGGTTTGCCTTGGTAAGGCATGTATTAATTGGAGCTAACTTTGAACTTTGCGAAGATGATGATTGTAAATAAAAGGAAGATCGTGAAGATGAAGAAGATTATAAAAACAAAGAAAATTGTGAAGACCTGGACAATTGTGAAGACAAAGGAGCTTGTTGCTTAGAGGTTTGTTAAATATAGGTATGTTTAATTGTTAATGAAGGATCTAGATGATCAGGTCCAATTGCACTAGGATTGAATGGCCAAATTCCTGTAGTTTTGAATAAATTGTATATTGTAGTAGGTGTATAGGTTGCAATATATGATGGTTCTAAAACTTCAGTGAACATGTGTTTAGTTACAAATTTACTATTACTATTAATTTGAAACTTATTATACTCTTTATCATATGTTTTCTTTAGAGTAGCAAATGGTAATTCGGCTAGTTGTAAGATATGAGTAGTATGAGGGGAGAGAGTATAAAGAAGAATATTGTTCTCATAATAGTAGTTAATACTAATATAGTTAATATGACTTTTATGGCTGTCTAGAATTAACAATACAGGATGTGCAGGTAAGATAGAACTAATAAAATGCTCGATATATTTTTGAAATAGGCTTTCTCGATGTATCTTGTCTCAGTAAATCTTATGACAGAACCTGCAGGAGTGCTATTTAAAAGACCCGAAATTGTTCATTTTCTTTAAAGATAAACAATGGTGGGATGTATGTTCTGGTAGCTAATATAGTTGGATATACAGAAATATGTTCATGAGAGCTGCTATATAAAACCTGATAAACCTGGCATGATTCCTTTTTTGCTATAACTTTTTGGGTTCTAGGTTCAATAATAAACCCCATTTTATTTTAAGAAAAAAAAATAATAAATAAAAAAATAAAATAATCTGATTTAAAATAAAAAAATAAAAAAAATAAATTAAAAAAAAATAAATTAAAATAAATTAAAATAAAAAAAAAAACAGAACCATATTTCAAATTCTGTCGGTGGTAAATGAAAATTCTTGGATAATCTTCTCAAGTTTGTTGAAATAATTATTGATAATAACAGGGTTTGCCTTTTATGCACAAGCTTTATTTAGGGCTTGCAGAACACAAATTAAAAGCTCTTGGTGGTTTTTTATGAAGCATTGCTACCACTTTCATCCTGGCCTATTATCCTTAAAGAGATGTGGTTACCCATCTTGACGAACAATATCCATTACACACTGATTTACTCTAGACTTTGTTAACCCAAAACTGAGCTTTTGCATATTCAAACAATAATCAACCAACTGTTCTTCTTCATAGTTGGTTAGGGTTTTAGCACGGCCTGGGGGGTAAGAGGACTATCATTTTTGATGGCATGTTTAAGAGTAGCTTCTGAAAGACCATAGTCATATACAATACTTCGGGTGCTTAGAACCTTGGTATTATTCAAGATTTCCTTAATTGTCTTAAGAGCATTGTTAATAATATTATTTTGGATATTACAATTGTTATACTTTGTCATAGTTTTATTTTAAAGTTTTAAATAAACTATTTCTCTTTGCTTTATTACAATATGAAAGGTTTAAATTGTTTACAGTACAAAGTTTTTATTATATTCAATGAGATATTTTGAGATCATTATATAGGCTAATTTGTAAATATTTATATGATCGAAAACTATCTAATTAATTTAATGTTTTAATTTCATGTTTTTTTCTTGCTTATTAATAAGATCATGCAACCTTCTTATTTTATTAAAAAAAAGGTTATTACAATTACAATGCATACAAAGTTATCAACAAAATAACACTATCTAATACAAGAAAATTGGTTATTTAATATGTAAGGCCAATTTCTAAGTGTTATGATTACTTTTAGTTAAGAAGTTTGTGCATGAAAATTAAAGTCATGGCGAGAAAAATTTAAGTAGATCAATTAAATAGTGTTATCTCGTGTTCTAGTGATCAGAATCACATGATTTGGGTACTAATCGACTCATCTCAACAAGACAAATCAAATGGTACCTAAATCATATAACTCTAATCACTAGAACACGAGATATTGCAATATATCAAATTAGACACTGCGTTATAATAGGGACACTTACCTTATATTTTGGGCTTGAAAATTTATTAAATTATTTATCTATATATTTTTAGTTCAACAAACTAAATTAATTGATAATCCACCAGTCAACAGAAGAATAAACATAGTGTAACATAACGCAAATCACTATGTAAATCCAATATAGTGTGAATCTAAAAAATTTCTACTATTCGTCCAAAGAAAACATTTTTTCGTACTAAGTTAATCGATTTTGTAAATTAATTTAAAGTTGTAGAGCTCGTCCTTGCGGTTCTAATGGTGGTTAAATAATCAAATCGGCCTAGTAGATGCCGAGATATCTTTAAAAAACGCGTCAACGATTATATAAAATCTCTATGT